AAGATGTTCAATTATACTCTCTTGCAATATACAACCAGCACCCTAAAAAATTTCACTAAATCCCACCTTGCTTCATAGTCCAGGTCAAATCTTACCCATCCATGAAATATTTTCTAAATATCGAATTGAATGTGATTGTTCCATTATCAAAGTTTCCATCACACATTGTTTCAATGTTTATATTCTCTTTAGCATTTTAATTGTTCACATATATCATATATTCCATCTCCTTTATTAGATGGCTGGCTTTAAGAGGACAGATGCATTTACTTATCCATCTTGGTATCCTTCATAGTAGCTAGTATCTTGAAGTTGGTGTTTAATAATTGTGTGCAGGAAAAATGCATACAGATGCTGCTTATTTCTAATTCCAGATAGCTCAATTTTTCTTTCGTAAATTGTAAAATGTGAGAACAAAAAAAGTGTGCAAGTTTGCTATCGTGGTGAGCCATACAATTAGGCTTTCTTGAAACTTGACTCTTTTTAGGCATAATTTCACCCTAAAGATATAAATACCCAATGGTTTATTAACACACCTTCCTATTTCAGTAATACTAGTAAGTCAGCATCTCAGATGTGCTCTTGTACTTCTTTCACAAACAGAAAGTACACTTACTAGTCATATATAGCCAGCAAACACTTTCACTTACATATGTCCTAACACTTCTATTTTTCCATGTCTTCTACATATTTATTTGCATCCACTAAGTTTGTTTTAAACTTTAAGCTTCCTAAATTAGCCTGGATAATAGTGTATATATATGAAGAGATAATCAAATCCTTTTTGATGATAATGACATTTAAACTTCTAAATCTATATACATTTCCCATAAGGAAATAGAAAAGAGGAAAAACCTGAAGAGTTTAATTTAGCCAATGACTGGATAAATACATTTCTTAACTTCAAAGTTGGTGAATAATGTCCTTGAGTTAGGGTGGAAAATAAAAAAGGTTGCTTTGTGTTATCTATTAAATTTGATGAGATAAGAAAGCTACATACAGCATAAAGATAAATTTACCTTAGAAACCATTTATTCTCATTCCCTCATTTAGGAAACAGAGGCCCAGAGAGGGGAATATTAAAACCAGTGGATATATTCCTTTAAATATTACAGTTCAGCAGGTTAACATCCTGGAAGCCATGAAATTTTTCTATAGTCAATAGAGGGATCCTTCAGCCAATTATAGGACTGAGCTTAATGTTCATTAAAAATGCAGTGTGATTATTACTTCAATAATAATTGAGGAGGAATGCAAATGATTGTGTGTCAGCCAGCAAGGGCATAAACAACACAAATATGGGATGTGGTTATAGTTGCTGTAGCCCAAACCTTAGCTCTATCTCAAGACATTTTCTCCTATCATAAAAGCAAGAGGCTCCTGTTTACTCAAAGTTCCTAAATTCATAGAAAAGCTGAAATTACAAGTGAAATACATGAAGCTTTTGTAAAGTTGATACATATCTGATCAAGTTTTGAAGTTTAATTGGGTTTTATTAAAGAAATAATGTACTCTATTATATAAATTCTATTTTTCTCTCTCATTCCCTAAGAATTTGGCATGTTGTTAGACACCCAACAAATTAGGTTGTTAAAATCTGTTCCAATTGGTTTTGTTTAAATAAGGATTATTAGTGTGTGTATCTCTCTCAATTGTACTATTCACTGTTTAGCTTGCCTGTGGATCTCCTTGATTTTTACTTTCTCTTAGTAATAGCTCCTTCCTCTAGTGCCCTATTAGGAGAGACACTTTCTCAACATGGTTATCTATATATCTCGCCATTTCCCAGTTCTGCTATTTAGTCAAAGCTTCAGAAATAATAGCGAGAGGATGAAAGTGGATGAGAACTGGGACTCAGAGCTATACCAGTCTGGTTTTGATGTCAGAGCACTGGAAAGAAAAAAACTTTTGGAACAGGCACACAAAGAAGAGGAAAAATCAGCATGGAGTTGTTTCCAGTCTCATCATAAAACTAAGAAGCAGGGAGTAAGAACCAGGCATATCTCCAAAAGGATGGGCAAAATCTGGTCAACCTGCAACAAAGTAAAAACTTCAGCAAAGATAGGTTTAGCTGCAATGCTGCCAAGTGAGAAGTTCATATATTTCCAGAAGACTCATGTAAAATTAAAATGGGCTGGCAGAGACCCATCACTGGTCAATGAATTCTCCCTTGTAACTATAGGGATCAGAAAATGAGCTGTTTTATCAGTCCAGTGGGATATCCTACCTTTGTAGTACTGGAATAGTGACTACAGAAGACTCCAGAATACACTTTGAAAGTCAACAAAGATGCTGGGATGTTCTTGCTCAGCTCAAGATCTTGTTTCCTCCTCCAGCCTTCCATGTACCTGCCCCTTGTTAGGACTGGTAAGTGACATCAGAATCACAACTGGTGATATCACTGTCTCTATAGCAACAGTGGTGAGGCTAACAGAAATTGTGTCATCAAAGGCCAGGAGGAGGGGTGAAGGTATACTATAAGACTCTGATGCTTAGTTTGGAAGAACTGGGTTAACTTTCTCCTAATTAATTTCCTCCTTTAAGTGTCTAATTTAGGTAGGAAATATGGGAGGGGAAAATTTTGCCAAAGGATTTCCACTTAAAACAATACAGTAAGTATGATGTATTTACAAACCCAAATAGATGCAAATAAGAATTAAAAGGATTGGGGAGGGGGTCTACTAACTTTTTTTATGCAAAGCCCATGGAATCACTTCATTTTACGGGATCCAATTTAGATTCTTCTTCATTATAAACATTTTACTTTTTGTAAAACAAATAAATTTTGAGATATTTTGCCTCAAGTCACCACCTCTGGTTTATAACTCATCTTAGATGGTCAGAGATACAGTAGCACTCACACATCCTCTGCAATAGCTCCACCTCCAACTGTACTGGAATAACTCAGACCAAGAGGCATTTGGTTGGCAATTTTTAGGTTTGAGGAGGACTTTATTAGTAGTGCATTCTCTTTGGAAATGTTACCTTTAGTGCTGTTAATTAGTGATTAAATATAGGGTTGATCCATAATTTCCATGAAACAAAAAGAATCTTTAATCAAGGCCACAAAATAAGGATTAAAGTTGTTAACAAATTCAAAAGTGACTGACTGATTTATTACAGGCTTTAACAGATTATTTATTGACAATCTTTTATATTCGGTCTCAGTTTCTTCATCCTTAAAATAAAGAAGTTGGGCATGGTGATCTCCTATAATCCCTTTCGGCTCTAACATTCTGTGATTTTGGTACTTTAGAGGTACCTGAATAAAACTACATATATTCACATATAGCACTTTGCAGTTGACAAAACACATATCCACTGTTATCTGATCCTCATAACAACATTTTGAGGTAAGAGGGCAAGTATTAATTTCCCTGTTAGGTGTAGAATCTTGCTCAGATTACAACCAATAACTGGTAGAACTAAAACTGGGATCTAATATTCTAAATTTTAAGTCAACGCTCTTTCAACTATAGCATCAACAAAGCATGTTACCTTGAAACTAATATTTAGTACACAGGGCAGTGTTTGACTTGGAGATATAAAATAACATAACTGGTGATGTTACATAGGTGATAGGAGGTTGCTGTTAATAGGGGTCTGTCAACTTATTAAAACCAGGAAAGTATGTTACTTATATTGACCCCAGAATCAAATGTTACCAAATTTTAAGTGTTCATTGAACACAGGATGAGACTAAGAAATAGGAGACAGCACAGCATTAATTTCTCTAATGAAATTTCTTCAGTTTTCTTTTCTAATTCAGCTTGGTAGGTGACACGTCAGTAAACAGTGGGGGTGGGGTGGAGTGGAAACAACCAATCTTACAAGTTTAATAACATGCAGTCTCCTCACTACAGGTCTTTTGTCCATCCCAGCATGCACATCCCTTTCTCCCTGAAACAACAAAGGGTGAAAGAATTACCAAGTCTAGAAAGGTCCCCTAAACGCGTTCGTTTTCTGATAAGCCCAAGGTAGATGTCTCAGGACAGGTTGCTGGTTACCAGCTCCTACTCAGGGACCTTGCAAGTTGAACAGAATAACCTATTTAAAACCGCAAGCGTTTTGTCTAATCTTTCTGGAATTTCCTCAGGCTCTAAAACGATGCAGATTATTAAAGAAGTCCACAGTTAAAACAAACAAACAAACAAACAAACCCAAAGCAAAGCAAAACAAAAAAAAACATTGCTCCAGAGACGGCCGTCTTGAGTTTCTTCCTCGAAAAATGTGCAGATACCATACATGTCTACTAAATTTTATATAACATTTCAGGAATTTCATAGACTTCTTGAAGTCCACTCATGAATCACACTCTAGGTTAAGAATCCCTGGGCTTATATGTCAGGTGGTGATAAGTGCTTTGATAAATAAGTAGTAATAAGACTGTTGAAATGATGACCACCTTGGATAAGGTGTCAGAGAGGTCTTCTCTGAGGAGGTGTCCAAACAGCAGACCTGAGCTGGTGCAGACATCTGAGTCAGCATACCAGGAAAAAGAGAACAGTAAGAAACAGGCTTCGCGGAGAGAATAGAGCACACACTTTGGTGAATTCCACGTGCATATCCTCATTTCTACTTCTCTCCCTTTGTCTTGCATTTCCGCCCCACTCCTTCCTTGTACAACCTCTCCCCTAGACCCTAGTTATCTCCTTTAAGATTGTCCGTAGTTCAGGGGCCACGCCTCCACCTTCCCCTAGTCTCACCAGGGCTTCCTTCTCTGACATTTTCACGAAACTATAAACTGAGAGGCAGAAACGGTGAGCTCGGGTTCTGCCATTTTGTATGCCCTTGAGTCAGTTACTGGTTGAACTTCTAGTTTCTCTGTGACGAGATGGTCTTTACGGTCTATCCTGTAAGGCGAGAATTCTTTTCTTTTTACTCCCTCTTTCCTTCAGGATCGCACGCCCTTCCGTCTAGCTCTCTTTCTCCAGACAAGTGTCACACTCTAGTCTCTGACCCGCCCCTTTTCTTCCTTCTTAGCGCCTGCGCAGACTCTCCAGGACAATTACTTTTGACCCTGCCTCGTAGCCGTAGTTAGTCCGAACGCTGGCGGCGGGGGATTGTGGGATAAGATGGCGGCCACTGTTCATCCGCGGCTTGTCCGGGCCTTGCCAATGTCACGTAAGTGTCACTGGGGATACAGGTTCCAGGTTGGGAATCCAAGTCGGCGATGGAAAGTTTTGGGAGTGGCGCCGTGCTGCAGCGGTCACGCTGACTCTCTGGACACCTTAGTTTTTCTAGGGCAGCACCTGCCTCGGTAGTTTATCTTTAACGGTTTCCAGATTCACATATTAAAATATGCATTTGGGAAGGCGTCTGCACTGAGAGAACGTGAGCAATGGGAAGGGAAGAGGAGAAAGTGGGGATGTGTAAAGCATCAAGAGAATCAGCTTTCCCATAGGATTGTAAGGGTTTGGGGTTCTGAGAAATATTTGTGTGGGGGCAGGGAGCCGGGGAGAGGAGTCTGAAAGGGAGGGAATAAAAAGGTAGTGGAGAGAAGATTCTTCATAGATCGACTTTATGACCTCGTGCAAACCCTTAATCCGTCTCAAGATTTTTCGTGTCACATTGGAAATGATAATACCACAATGTCAGGGAGTTTCTGAAAAGATTAATGAAGTAATGCTTATAAAAGCACTCTCTAAATCAGAAGCAACTCTATAGATGTAGAGAGTGTTAGGCCGAGGTGCTTGGGCCTCGGGAAGCAAGGGATGCTTGGAGAGAGAAGAATCAGGAGCTTGATAGAAAGGAAAGGGGAGAGGAGTAAAGGATATCTTAGGATTTGTGTAAGCGTTGTTCATTTAACCTTCTGTTCTTACTAGATCTACTATCATGGTCCTTAGGTTGAAAACATATACTTACCCTTCCACTCTTAAGAGAGGCTAGAAAAGCAAAGGAAATTGAATCCAGTTACACTTCATTGTCTTTCTTTCACCTTCCCGCCTTTCACAAACACCCATGAACCTTCAAAAGTTGTATTTTTAAAATTCGTAGTACCTGATATCTGCTGATCACAGTTTTAGATACATTTATAATTGTTTTTTCTAACCAACATCATATCGCATGCTCTTAATCATAAAGCTTTACTCTGGAGAGGCAAGTCTAGTGTGTAACATAATCAAAACACTAGAGAACAGAATTGTGTAAAACAAGGTGGAATGTGGAGAGACTATTACATACCATAGGAAATCAGAAAAGGGAATGATTGGCATCATTTGAAGCTGTGAGGGAAGACTGGAAGACCAGTGGATTGCTGTTCTTAGATTGCTTTTGTGAGGGTGGTTATGATCTTGAAAGTCGGAGAGGTTGGACATTGCCCTGTCATTGGAAGGGCAATGGGGTGAGAGTGGAATCATGAAGTACTTAGGAGGCAGTGAAATGACTACCTGTAGATCTGGAATAGTAGGAAAGGAAGTTGAATATGTTACATGGGCTTAAATAATAGAGGCCTTTGAAAGCTAAGCAGAGTTTTAGGTCAGTGGTCTTTAAAGTGGGTTTTGCAAGAAGAAATAATGCAATACTAAAAAATAGTATTAGAACTTTAAAAAACATATTCTGTAGTAATAACAATAGCTAACACAATGTCATTCAAACTATGTACACTGTTTTAAGTGTTTTAGTGTTTGATAATGTGTATAACATTGGTAGTACATAGAACATATATGTACTTTATAAGTAAATGCTTAAAAATACTGTGGTATGCAAGCAAATATGTTTGGAGACAGTTGCTTTAGGTATTACAGTAGGAAACCAATGTAAGTTTTTTGAGCAGAGGAATATGAGTAATAAATAATGTTATTCTCCTAATGATGTTCATAATAAATGAAAGAAAATGGAGAGGCTGGAGCCAAAGAGGGTAATAACATGTTTATTGAGCACCTACTATGAGCAAGGCATTTATATTACTAACACTCATATCAACCCTCTAAAATGTTAGCTCCATGAGGCCCAGGTTTTCGTCTTTTTACTATGCTAGATACAATTTCTAGAATAATGCTTGGCCCATAATTGTTGAAAAAACAACCAGATGAGGTTAATGTAACAATACCCTCTGAGGAATTTTGAAGTATATAGTAATAAATGAAAACAACTGTTATTCATGCAGTGTTAAATGTGTGCTAGGTAATGTGTTAACTGCTTTATGTTCATTTACACCAATCCTCATAACAGTCCTTTGTTATTAATTCTTTGACTCCAGTAATTGTTCCCATTTTACTGACTGTTCTTTATCCCATGCCCTCATTTCCTTCCTTATCCTTTTAATCATTCCTTTTCATACATTCACAACTTTCCAGCTCACTTCCCTTTGCCATTAAAAAAGTTAACACTGATTAAACCAAGCATTCCATGTATTTCCTGCCTGCCCTGAACATTGGAGAACTGAGCTAGGGAAAACAGCAAACTGACTAGCCTTATTTGAAATTCACGAATACAAATATCAAAGTAGATTTTCAATAGAAAACAAAGTAGATTTGCAGCACTGCCATTTTCCTAGGAAATTTGCTTTCCCTTTCCCCATAACAATTACTTAACATTGCCAGTCTCCCAAAACTTTAAAAATGTGCTTCTGTCTCATTCTCTGCTTTCCAGAGAAATCAAAGGAATCAGATGAGAAAAATCTCTTTTTCCCCACTATAAAAATCTAGTAACTGATCTGTGATAATTCTCTGCCTTTCCTCTAGATGAGCTCCTTCCGCTGTAAGGCCAGTTCCTTTGCCTTGCATTCCATCCCCTCTCTTATCTATTCATTCCCTCTCTTGAGTCATTAATTTTTCTCCTTTACTAGGTCATTTCCTTCAGCTTATTAATGTTTTACTATCTCGTTTAAAAAAAGTCTTGCTTGTCTTCATATTACTCTAGTCCTCTTTTTCTTTGTCCATTTATATAATATCTTCAAAAGATTATCAGTACTTCTACCACTTCCTTGCTTCACATTCTTTCTTTTGCCTGCTCCATTCAGGCTTTCATTCCCACTATTTCAATAAAATTATTCTTGTTAAGGCCATTTACAACCAACATTTTCCAGACCCTATGACTCTATCGTCATACTACTTCATGTTTCAGCATCTTTTTTAAAATATATTTTATTGATTATGCTATTACAGTTGTCCCATTACCCCCTCTTCATTCCCCTCCACCCTGTACTCCCTCTCCCACCCACATTCTCCCCTTTAGTTCATGTCCACATGTCATAAGTTATTTAGCTTCTACATTTCCCATACTGTTCTTTCCCGCCCCCTGACTATTTTCTACCTACCATCTATGCTACTTATTCTCTGTACCTTTTCCCTTTCTCTCCCCCTCCCATTCCCCTGTTGCTAACCCTCCATGTGATGTCCATTTCTGTGGATCTGTTCCTGTTCTAGTTGTTTGCTTATTTTGCTTTTGTTTTTGTTTTAGGTGTGGTTGATATTATTTTTTAAAGCCTTTCTCAAAACACTTTATCCTGCACTCCTTCCTTATGATTATCTAACTTATTTAAATTCCCTCAGTTCCTTTCACTATAGAGGTTTATACTGTCTTAAGTTGTAACTGTTATGTTTTGTTTTAATATGATTCATCTTCCTAGGCAAATTTCATCCTATAGGGCAGGGACTTTTTATGTATCTCCTTATGTTCTACAGAGTCTTTGTTGTAATAGTTTGTGTTTATTATTGCTGTTGGCACTTAAATTATAACTTTTAATTTAAAAGTTCAACTTTAATGTAAGTTCATGAAAATACTGATTGCAAAATAATGTTACAGTTTTCTAGAAAAAGAAGCTATTGGTATCATAGTCATTTTATATTAACATTTTCCATTTTTGTATATTCTGGGCTTTCATTTAAGGTTCTTCTATTACTGCATTAGCCACATCTGTGTTTCCTGGCCTGCCCCAGCGCCAGCTTCATCATGCAGTCATACCTCATGGGAAGGGGGGGCGTTCCTCAGTCAGTGGGGTCGTCGCCACTGTGTTTGGAGCTACAGGATTCCTGGGCCGATATGTTGTTAACCATCTTGGTAAGTAAAGTTCCTGGAGTTTTGTATACTCTGGTGCCATTTATTAGGGTTACCTAATGAGAAGCCATGAGCTATGTTTCTTTTCATTTTAATAGTGTTCCAAATAATTCATATCTTGGATTTATGTAATTTTGGTCTACTGTGTGCATTATGAGAACATCCATGCTTCCTCATACTTCCTATATAGGATGTTTGTAGAGGACTCTGAAAAGTTATGGTGTCTCTGACATGGCAAAATACCAAATACCTGTCATATAATGTATTTATGTTATGTTAACATTGATCCTTGTCTCAATCCATTCTCTTTTAGGACGTATGGGGTCACAAGTGATCATACCCTACCGGTGTGATATATATGACACCATGCATCTTCGTCCTATGGGTGATCTGGGCCAGATTATCTTTCTGGTAAGAGCCTGTATTACTGATTATTGGAGTGGACAAATATAAATTACTAAGATCACTTTTAGGAAAGAGAGGCAGTAAATAAAGCACCAGTTTCATTCCACAGTGGACCAAAGACATCCTCTATTCACAGGGCATTTTTGAAAACACTGGTCTGGCAGTTGGTAAGCTTTTTCTGTAAAGGTCCAGATAGTAAATATTTTAGGCTTTGTGGGTTATAGGGTCTCTATCATGATTACTCAACTCTGCCCTTGTAGCCCAAAAGCAACCATAGACAATATGTAAAGGAATGAGAATGGCTGTGCCCTAATAAAACTTTACTGACAAAGTTAAACTGTAGATTAGATTTGTCTGTGGGTCATAGTTTGCCAGCCCTGCTGTAGACCTATGCTGTCCAATATGCTAATCACTAGCCACATTTAGCTGTTGAGCACTTGAAATGTAGCCAGTCTGAATTGCGATGCACTGTTCAGTGTAAAATACACACCACGTTTCAAAGACGGTGTAAAGGAAATATTCAATATGTCATTAATATTTGTTAATATTCATTACATATTAAAATTATATTTTGGCTGCATTGGGTTAAATAGAGTATATTATTATTTAAATGAATTTCACCTGTTTTGTAATCTCTTAAAATGTGGCTAATAAATTCAGAATTACATATATGCTTCATGTTATATTTCTATGAGACAAGTACTTCTATAGACAGAAAATCACAAATATGTTATTTTATAACTTGGTTTTCTGGTGTAGACTTAAGTTATAGCAGTTCTTCCTGAACATTCTATGTTATTCTTTTCTTCATTAAAGATTTTTATTTATTTATTTTTAGAGAGAAGGGAAGGGAGGGAGAAAGAGAGGCTAGAGAAAAATATCAATGCGTGGCTGCCTCTCCTGTGCCCCCTGCTGTGGAGCTGGCCCACAATCCAGGCGTGTGCTCTAGACTGGGAATCAAACTGGCAACTCTTTCTTTCGAAGACCAGCACTAAATCCACTCAACCACACCAGTGAGGGCTATGTGTTATTATTCTTAAATTTATAAGTTCTTCCTTTATGGAATTGGCTAGTTGCCACTGGGGCAGGGCAGGGGGAGTGAGGTGGGGCAACCCTTCAAGGGTGTGATTAAAAATGTGTGGGCCCTTTTGGTTGTCACAGTGACTGGAGACATTACTGGTTTATTTGATAGGTGGCAGAGATGCTAAACATCTTACAGTTTACTGGACAGTCTTGTTTCTTTTTTAAGATTTTATTATTTTTTTAGAGAGAGGGGGAGATAGGGAGGAAGAGAGGGAGGGGAGCATCAATGTGTGGTTGCTTCTTGTATGCCTCCTGCTGGGGAGCTAGCCTATAACCCAGGCATGTGCCCTGACTGAGAATTGAACCAGTGACTCCTTCCTTGCTTCACAGGCTGGCACTCCATCCATTGAGCCACCCCAGGCAGGGCTGGACAGTCTGTTTCCACAAAGGATTATGCTGCCCAAATGCCTGCAGTTTTCCTATAAAGAAATACTTTTTAAAATTGTATTTTATTGATTATGCTATTATAGTTCCAGGTGATCCCTCTGTGGCTCCCTCTACATAGCACCCCCCCCCCGACTTCCTCAGGCAATCCCCGCACCATTATTCGTGTCATGGGTCATGTGTATAAGTTCTTTGGTTACTCTATTTCCTATAGTGTACTTCACATCCCCATGGCTATTGTATAACTACCTATTTGTACTTCTTAATCCCCTAACCTTTCACACATCCCCCCACAGCTCCCTCCCATCTGGCAACCTTTTTCTTAAATACATCCCCTTAACATTTCATATAATAATGGTTAGGTGATGATGAACTACTTTAGTTTCGTTACGTCTGGGAAGCTCTTTATCTGCCCTTCAATTCTAGATGATAGCTTTGCTTGGTAGAGCATTCTTGGCTGTAGGTGCCAGCTTTTCATGACTTTGAATATTTCATGCCAATCCCTTCTAGCCTGCAAAGTTTCTTTTGAGAAATCAGCTGACAGCCTTATGGGAAGTCCCCTGTAAGTAACTAACTTATTTTCTCTTGTTCTGCTTTTAAGATTCTTTATCTTTAACCTTTGGCATTTTACTTACAATGTGTCTTGAAGTGGTCCTCTTTGGGTTTGTCTTATTTGGGATTCACTGTGCTTCCTGGACTTGCATATCTGTCTCCTTCACCAAATCAGGGAAGTTTTCTTTTCATTATTTTTTCCAAATAGGTTTCCAATTTCTTGTGCTTTTCTCTTCCCCTTCTGGCACCCTTATGCAAATGTTCAGCCTCTTGAAGTTGTCCCAGAGGCTGCTTGTGCTGTCCTTTTTTTGGATTCTTTTTTCTTTTTGTTCTGATTGGTTGTTTTTTGATTCCTTATGTTCCAGATCATTGATTCGATTCTTGGCTTCATCCACTCTACTGTTTTTTCCCCTGTGAATTGTTCTTTATTGCAATTTGGGTATCCTTCGTTTCTGACTGGATGTTTTTTATGCTATTGAGGTCCTCACTAAGTTCCTTGAGCATCCTTGTAACCATAGTTTGGAACTCTGCATTTGATAGATTGCTTATCTCCATTTTGTTTGGTTCATTTTCTGGAGTTTGATATGTTCTTTCATTTGGGCCATGTTTCTTTATCTCCTCATTTTGGCTTCCTCCCTGTGTTTGTTTTTGTGTATTAGGTAGAGATGCTATGATTCCTGGTCTTGGTAGTGTGGCTTAATGTAGTTGCTGTCCTGTAGGGTCCAGTGGCACAGCCTTCCCTATCACTCAAGTTCGGTACTTGAGGTGTGCCCTTTGTGTGGACTGAATATACCCTCCTCTTGTAGTTAAGCCTTGGTTGCTGGTGGCAGGTCAATTGGAGGGATTTACCCAGGCCAGTCAGGTGTAAGGACTGGCTGTGATCTCTGACTACCAACCTCTGCCCTCTGTGGAGGATCAGCAGTGCAGGGGCAGGGTGGTGGTGCTTCCTACTGGTCTGTAGCTGTGCAAACGATGCACAGGCTCTGGGGTTTCCTGGGTGGTACAGGCCAAGGTCAGCCCTGATCTGTGTTCTGCCTGGGCCACCCTGCCTGAGCTATAAAGCATCTGAGATGACTGCTGCTTGTGCTGGGCTTGGAACCACTTAGCATGGGGTACAAGGGCTGGGGCCTCACTGAGGTCTGCCAGGCTTGTTTGATAGGATTTGGGAAGCATTAACCAAGATCAACTATTCATATGGAAAGGCCACTGTTAAGAGCTTGGGTGGGGCCCTAAGTTGGGTGGGATGGAACCTCAGGGCATCTCCAGGCAGGGCAAACAGTGTTAGCCAGGTTGATGGAATCTCCAATAAGGTACCTGCCTGCTGGGTCTGTGAGGGGAGGGTCCAGAAAAGGGACAATGGCCTCTGCTGGCTTTTCTGTCTGGGAGAAAACTGTTCCCCAGCTCTCGCCTTGATGCCAGACACTTCAGTTCCTCGCTGTATGCCCCTGGTACCTTTCAAGCTGCTTCCCTGGTGCTGGAGCTCAAAGGGAGTAATTCTGAGTAAGCGTCTTTGTGGTTTCTTCAAAAGGAACTGCTTGGACTCTAGAAGTTTCTTCCACCGAGTCAATCCCCACTGGTTTTTGCAGCCAGAAATGATGGGGACTTATCTTCCTGGCAATGGAATCCTGAGCTGGGGAGCCTGGTGTTGGACTAGGACTCCTCACTCCCAAGATATCCTTCCCAAATTGTTATCTACCACACTTGGATGTGGGAGCAGGTCTTTGCACATATCTGCCCCTCCTACCAGTCTGGATGGATGTGGTTTATTTAATTCTGTAGTTGTTGGACTTCCTTTTAACTTGATTTCTGACAGTTCTGAGTGATGATTGCTTTACAGTTTAGTTGTAATTTTGATGTTCTAACTTTTCTTACTTTATCATCCAGTGTGGAACTGAGCTCTTCCACTTGCACACATTCCCCTTTTAAAAAATAATTTGTGAACATCCTTAATATCTGATACTAATTTTATATGGATGATCTGGGATCTCTTCAAATACTGACTTATTTTTAATGGCATTTCATTTATACTTTACTGAATGTTCTCAAGCTAAGTATATGTATATTAAAAATTTTTTGTTTCTAAAGTGTTATTCTTTTCCAAAATCTTATTGTCAAATATCCTTTTGGTAGTATACTTACAGAAACTTAAATTTTCCTAGTTCTTTGTAAGTTAAGATAATTGGTCTCTTTGTCAATTCTCAAAATTAAAATATTTCAGAAAGGGTTAGGTGAAAACTCTTACTGGCTTCCAAATGTAGAATCATTAGAATTGAGCTATCAGATATATTTTCCACAGATACTTATTGAGTGTTTGGTCTGTGCCTGGCATTGAGCTCAGCTCTGAGAATATGCAGTTAATGTCTCAAACTCTTCCACCCTTGAGGGTTTTTTTTTTAATTCTTTCTCTCCTACCCTTTCCATCTTTGCTGACATACTTTTTTTACCTTTTTATGCATAGTGCTGCTCTTAAAAGAAATCATATATTATTTATTTTTGAAAAGATTTCTGGCTATTTATTCTTTTTCTTTTTATTGATTTATTTTTATTTTCATTTTTTTATTGTTGTTCAAGCATAGTTGTCTCCATTTTCCTCTCACCACTCGCCTTTGCCCCCCACCCTCCATTCTATTTTTTATTGTTGTTCAAGTATAGTTGTCTCCATTTTCCCCTCACCACTACCCTTCGCCCCACCCTTCATTCTACCCTTCTTTGCCTTTGTCCATATGTCTTTTATACATGTTCCTTGACAACCCTTCACCTTTACCCCTCCATTATCCTCTATCCACACCCCTCTGGTTAGTCAGTTGGTTCTTTATTTCAATGTCTCTGGTTATATTTTGCTTTTATGTTGTTTTGTTGATTAGGTTCCACTTATAGGTGAGATTATATGGTATTTGTCTTCCACCACCTGGCTTATTTCACTTAGCATAATACTTTACAGATCTATCCAAGCTGTCGTGAGGATAGGAGCTCCTTCTTTCTGCTGT